TTTTGCAGCTGACATCAACAAAATATTTACAGTTACAAGGGCATTAAATTGCATGATTTTACAAAGAAGTAATGCCCTTAGGGATCCAAACAAGCAATATCATTTTTTGTTATCTGCTTTTCACAGATGACTATATTTCTATCCTTTTCATATTTGAATAATGAATTCATTACATATATGAACATTCTGTCCTTTGTATAATTATGTTTCTTTTTTGCCAAGAGAAATCAAACTCAGCATTCAAAAGGCCTGTCTTCATCAGCTCGAAGTTGCAATTAGCGAGATATTTGGTCGAGATAATCATCCCATATTTGTCAGGTGCGTCCTCACCAGCCCGAAGACTTGCACTATGCGCAAATGCTGAGCAAGATATCTCGAGCTAATTACTTGAGCTCGAGTTTAAAGTTTTGAGGTCAGGTCAAGGTGATGAAGACGCGATTTGTAACAACGGGATTATTTCCCAAATCAGAGATAGCGGGCTATTTGGCAATCGCGAGCTAATGGAGACAAGCCTAAAGATAATGAGTAGCAAGGTACCAGTAGTCAGAGTTGGAAGGAAAACAATAGAAATGACATTTGTAGTTGAAGCGTGAGAGATTTTTGATCAAGCAGCAATTATCCAAACGAAGAAAAAGAACCAGGTCAATGTCGGATGACAGCGATGGGCAGAGATTGCGAACTGAACAAATAGAGACTTCAATCAATGTGAACATCAGACAATCCAGTCCATTATATCAATGGTAAGTTGGATACACAAGCATGGGCGTAGCCAAGGGGGCACAAGGGGGTCACCCCTCCCCCACTTGTTCCACCTCTAAAAAAAGTTAGGTCACTAAAGTGACTCTGTAATTTTGTGAACCATCCCCCTCCCCCCCCCCCCCCCCTATAAGTCTAGCTATGCCACTGCACATAGTCATTGCATGCTACATAATAATACATATCCTTTATTCAGTCGAATGTAGATGTAGCTTGGGTAATGAGAGAGACCTTTTAATCCCTCACACGATGATTCATGTGTCAGACGATTAGGTGACAAAAAATGGGGGAGGGGGAGGGGGAGGGGCTGGGATTAGAGATAATCGCCCTTGCACAGCGTGAATATGTGTATGTGCAGTGAGCTGTCATGTCAGGGTACATGGATTTTAAATGTATCGTTGCGATGAATGTATTACTTTCAATGTGTTTTTATGACTCCCTTCTATCAGCCCAAATCCATGTATTGCTACATGAATGTATCCATACCACTTCTTTTTTCTTTTAATGTGTTTTGATAATTTGATCAGTATTTTATCTCTCTTTCTAGTTCCTATCATCCTAAATCCATGTGTTTTCAAAGAGATGCCAAATCATTAGTCCTTGGAGTTCTTTACAAAGTCGTTTTATATAGCTGATGTTTGTGCATTTTAAATCATTTGCAATGATTTAAGTCTCACTTTCTATCACCCTCAGTCCATCCATGTGTTGTTTATGGATCTTTGCAAAAACTATCATACTTTGAAAGTTTTAAATATAACGAGAGAGAGAGAGGGAGCGAGAGAGAGAGAGAGAGAGCAAGAGAGAGAGAGAGAGAGAGAGAGAGAGAAGAGAAGAGAGAGAGAAGAGAGAGAGAGAAGAGAGAGAGAGAGAGAGAAAGAAAGAGAGAGAAGAAAAAGCGCGCGCCATTAAAAAAGCTGTCACCTTTGTTTTTGAAGCCAATTATACTGAGGGCCAAAAGTGCATGAAGTCATCATGACACATAAAAAAGCTGTCATTTGTGCTTTTGAAGCCAATTAGTCAACAAGGGTAAAATAAACATAAAATTCCACCTTCAAAAAGGGTACACCCCTGTGGTAATACCATTCGTTGGCTTTGGGGTTGACAGACAGTGTGGAATGCAAATGATACACCTCTTTGTTTACATAAGGGAGGTAATTCTAGTATTTACGGAAGGTATGACAATGATTTTATGCTTATGAGGGTTTATAGCATGTAATTGTAATTATGATGGACATTATTTTAATTATTACAGACAAAATTGTATTGAACAGAGATTTTAAATAGCGATGTCCCTCTCTACTCAACATCTGAACCTCAGTAATATACTCTTTAATTAATATAAATGAGTATAATAAGTGAGTGTTCATCTGCAAGGTGGGATAGTATGATACCATGTACGTGCATTTGCCACTGAATTACACTGTATGTTCCTATTCCACTATTGAGAAACCTGCTTTTAATTAATACACATCTAGAAATGTCCGTCCATCCCTGATCAAACTCCATATTTGAGAAGCAGGGTCATGGTACAATCTATGACATTATTATGATCAAATCAACAGGCACGAAGTGATGAGCATAAATAAGAGCAAATAACAGGCCCAAAATAATCTTATTTAGCAGTCAAATGTACATTACTCTGATCAGGCAGCTATTAGTATATTAACGGAGCATAGCATGCAATATTACTTCCTTCTTTTTGTGTTCTAAACTTTCTCAAAGAAGCACATGATAATTTAGTATGGATATTAAAACAAAATTAACCCAGTTACACTACACATTTCTTACAGATTAATATTAATACATAAGTAATTTGGTGCGTCAAGACAGCATTTAAGTACTCCAAATCTATTTTAGAATAAATTACGGCACATAATATTAACTTTGATCTTTTAATTGATCATGCATCCATTAGTAAACTAATGGAGCACATCATTCAGTGTTACTTCCTTCTTTTATATTCAAACTTTCTCAAAGAAGCATATGATTATTTAATATGGCTATCAAAAATTAACCCAGTTATACTGTTTTAGACTGCCTTCACCCCATTACCCAAATACTAATTAGATATAAATTGCTTTTCCTTAACTAATCATTGCCTGTTTTCATGTTCCTACTATTTTTCTTCATTGCACCCTGAACATAATTAGCATGGAGTTTGTTTATAATATATGTTCACATTACTTATCAATATAAATATAAAGTCAAATCAATTAGTGAGGTTTCAGAGAGTGCAGAACACGGGTAATTTGACTTGGCTTGCAAGCCTATTCTTTTTGTGTCTACCCACCCACTCAGTACGGTAGCTCAGATTACACATGCAGGTGGGTTTCAAAACTCCTGCTGAACATTCGAGAGTTATTAATCATCATAACAACTTGATTGAGTACCGTTGTGTTATTATGCATGCACCACTAATCAAATTTGTTTTGTTCATGTCTTGAATGACAGACAGCCAGCCACACCGTCATGTGCTACATTGCCTGTTCTGTTCGGAGCCAAAAGGGCCTTAACTCTCTTGCAAAGTCATGATGACTTCATAATGCCAGAAGGGCATCACCACAATGGGAATTCACATGACTGAATGCACTTTTTGCCCTCGGCTGATCATATCAAGTTCAACGCGAAGGGCGTTAGCTCTTTGTAAAGTCACGATGACGTAATGCAATTTTGGCCCCCCAGCTGACCATATAATCTTTTAATAGCAAGAAGGGCATTACCACAATGGAAATTCACATGACCGAATGCACTTTTGGCCCTCAGCTGATCATATCAAGTTCAGAGCGTGAAGGGCGTTAGCTCTTTGTAAAGTCACGATGACGTTATACAATTTTGGCCCCCCCCCCCCCCCCCCCCCAGCTGACCATATAATCTTTTAATAGCAAGAAGAGCATTACCATAATGGAAATTCACATGACCGAATGCACTTTTGGCCCTCAGCTGATCATATCATATTCAGAGCCAGAAGGGCGTTAATTCTTTGTAAAGTCAAAATGACTTCATACACATTTGGCCCCCAGCTGATCATATCATATTCAGAGCCAGGAGGCTGTTAATACTTTTGTAAAGTCATGATTACTTCACAATGCCCTTTGGACCCCCAGCTGACCATGTCATCTGTTTGGAGCAAGAAGGGCATAACCGCAATGGGAATTCACATGACTGAATGCACATTTGGCCCGTAGCTGACCATAGTATGTATGTGCATATGTTCTTTGCCTACATGTATAAGGTGCCCATTTGAAACCCATATTTTGGTATCAGAATAAGTTGTAAATTGATCCCTCCCCCTTTAAAATGGTCTTACGGTATGCCACATAGACCTATCAGTTTTAATGCCAAGTCGTCTGCAACAAATTTACAAGGCTTGACACTTACAATTTGTCAGGGGCAAAGAAATAACTTTTACCATTTGGAACACCCCCCCCCCCCCAATTTTTTAACCATTGTCACATTAACTCCTTGAATCCTGTTTTAATTTGGGGCTAACAAACGTTTGCCATGAGTCTCAGCCAGTGCAACGTACCTTGATAATTGTCGTGAATAGTTAAAGAAACATATCAGGATTATTATTTTAAATTGTAAAGCTATCACCTGCTGAGCATAAGAAGGTTATTACATGTTTCTTTAGATAAAAGTATCTGAGTTAACCAACACCCTTCAAGCTCTCTAAGCTGACAATACCTTTTCAAATAACCCTAATGCGACAGAATGTATATAGTTTTGCATTGGTAGGTAGGGCAAATATCATGCTATTGATCAAATTTTGGCTAGACTAAATTAACCTTTTAAATGGAGCTCGGCAGAACTTCTACATTTGTGACAATGTTCTTTATGATTTTCACAAAGGCCGCGACTGCTCTATTGTATTTCAAACAAAGAGATTGGCAACACAACAAAAGAATATATATTTTTCAGTTGTAACATTGATTGAATCAAGGCTGATGTAAGAAAAAGTGACTGGCTACAAAAACTGAAGTCCCATGCCTGCTACATCAACAAAATGGTGAAGTAACGAACACGTTCTATGGCGAGGAATCGGGCAAATCTGAGCGCTTATTTTCATTTCTAGATTTAAAACCTTGATAATGTCAGTTTTCTTTAGCTTCAAGGGGGTACCTTTGTCAACTTTCTTTCTTTGTTAAAAAGCAAACACAAACCGGCCTATTGGAAATTTTCTCTGCTTATTTTCAAGTTTGTGAAATGGTCGTAATAAAAAAAAATCTCATGGCTCAATGACAACCTCTTCTTATTTCTACCTCTTTCCCTTTTCTTTATATTTTAGGGTGTTATTGTGTTCATATTTGCCTTTGTGGACGCATTAGCAACTCGAATGACGGAGAAGGGGCAATTAAAAGTCACATGCTGTTTGTTTGTGGTGCCTTGTGCCTTAGAAGGAGGAAGTACATATATAAGGTTGATAAACTTTTCTCAAAATATCTGAAATCTTATCAACTGAGGTGAAATATATTGCTTTGTGCTTGGCAGAAAGGCAATAGCAGGGGAATATGCAATATTATGTTTCCTGCATAGAGTAAGAAGGGCCTAAACTCTGTGTAAATGGCTATTAGTTTACAGTATCTTAATTCTTAAATCGTAGCAGGAGTTCTTTTGCTAAAGCCTTTCTACTAGGTACAGAACAATTTGTTTGCGTTCTCAAAATCTGGATGAGATCTAGGAGAACAATTTTTTTTTTATATCCACATGTTTTGAAAACTGCAAGAGGATCAACTGTAAAAGCAACTGAAAAGGAGGGGGGGGGGTAGGCATGAATGATAACCAAATATATTACCATACATCTCCTGAAAATGAAAATATATCATCGTTCGAGAGTATGAAGAGTTTTAACTGAGAGCATAGCATAGGCTTCAAGCCTTTTTGGGCCTCTGAAGGCAATTCTGGATCATGATACTATATATCGTTGATAATTCATGCACTGTTCAATATTTCACACACTGACCGCATTGTCATCCAGGGTCTACCAGGTCAACATGTAGTGTACTGAATAAATATAAATCCTACATTTCTTGGGTAGGAGGAAGGGGCAGTTTCATTCTAAAAACATTGGTCATTTGCACAGAGAGGAGCTTCACTGGTACGCTTCATCAAGTCAATCCCTACATGAAGATTTTCAAGCTTAGACAGAGGACATAAGTCTTGGATTCCTACTTTGAGCTAAAAATTCACAATAAGATTAAAATTAAATGCCACTTGTTTTAATCCATTCTCTTTGTAATTCTTATTTAACATCCCTAGTTCTGATATAAATTGGATTTGAAGTGCTATCAGACAATTTTATAAAAACTGTTATTATTAGATATAGAAGTGAAATCATGATCACATAAAAGACTGGCTTAAAGCCTTGAATAAAACTTTGAACAATAACCTTTAAATCCAGCTTTCAGTAGAGTTCTGCTGAATGATCATTCTTTGCAATTGCTTACAATTATCAAAAGACTGGTACCAAACCTCATAAGGCACCTCATAACATAAGCTAACCTTGATCACTTCAAACATACACTGAGAGAAAGCGTTTCCATACAACTGGCCATACCCACAAAGTATAACTAATCCTGCAACAGACTGGTAACAGACTGGTAAAAGACTGGTAACAGACTGGTACTACCTACAGTATCCTGCAGACAATCAGCACCCCTTCATCAAAAGAGCAATGCTGCCGTGCCAGCCGAAGAGAAGAAGTCAGCATCCATGGGTTTGGGATACTCAGGCTCTGGTTCGACTTGTTCTTGGGGCGGGGCAGGCTTGGGCGGTTCCTTGGGTTCAGAAGGGCGGGGGCCACGCCCTAAGAGCATGTCCATGGCCGAGAGGTTGGAAGCGGCAAGGTTCTGGAAACCACCTGTACATTTTGAATGAAAAAAAGGAAAATCTAAATATTACATTTAATAAAGATGATGTTGAAATGCACTAAAAGGAATATAAAACTGCATAAAAATTAGTTTTCTCAATATTTTATCTCTTACACAAAATAATAATAATAATATTCCGCTTATATAGCGCTTAATACAAATGTCTCTCAGCGCTTTACCAATAGTTCTGCATTGTTGTACGAGGGTTGCTTTTACCTTACTTGAAGGACTAAAAAGGACTTTTTTGCTGGTCCATGAGATTACCCTCTTGCAGTGAATTTCAATATTTGAGCTCCATAATGTTTTGTATCTTCTAGCTTAATACTGAGAATTCGTAATCATTTTGCAGGTCACAATTACCTTAAAAAACCTTGAGAATCTTATCAAGTACATGTATATTCTTGTGAAAATAGTGTCTAATTGGTGTTCATCTCTGCTAATTTTCTACGTGTATGTGGTAACAATTCAGGAAAGAATAACATACAGCCAGTTTCTTCCATAAACCAACCCACATAAAATACTCCATATACACTATAATAACTACCGTAAATTATATCAAAGGACATTGATGGCACATCTTATTGTCTGTAGTAGTTCCAGGAAATGATAGTGCATGTTCTTTCAAGCACATCCCCAAAAACTTTTTTTTTAACTCCATTGTCAGTTATTGTCTGTGGTATATTTTACAGCTGAAAATTATACACGCGATGGTGTTTAATAATCCCATAGTTTGCATGATGTCATGTCGCCTCTTTTAGAACTTAGAAAACTGTTTTTTCTTTCAGAACATTATAGGTACATACATGTAAATGGTACTGACGGTAGGGTAGGAAATGAAGCATCACAAAACTCTGAGCAGATTTATGGAGAACAAAGGAAGGGAGCAAACTTTTATTATACTCTTTAACTGGAACAACAAAACTCTTTTTTTTAATGATTAAGCACCTATCATTTCATGCAAATATACATGGTACATTGTGAAGAGTGTACATGTACTATACTGACAAGATGGTATACATGTGTGTAAAAAGCATTTATTGTCTCATGTAAAAGTATATAACTATTTGAACGATTTGGACTAAAGTGTATTTCCTGTTTTTAATCATTTCAATGACACCCTGCTTGCTTAATCAATCACTTGTCCTTTAATTGGAAGGTACTTGCATTTTATACTAGTGTTTTCAAGTACCCTGCACTTATAAAGTGATCTTCAGAGTTGTTTACATTAAGTTTCATTTTCATTCTAAGATGATCATTTTAATCCATGTACAGTACATGTATCTATATTTTCTTCGACACTGCTGTAATTTAAAGCTAATCTTGAGCTCTGGTATGGGCATCCTGTCGAGAGTACATGGCTATAATATATTATGTATTGTTTATCCTGCAGTAGATTAATTGTTTTAACCAGGAAAATAAAAACAACCTCACAGAAACTTGCTGGAAATCATCTTCAATTAAAACCCCAACTCTCATTTGGTGTCAGGCCTGCTTACTTTGATTTCCTTAAACCTGAACCAAAGCTTCTAAAATATTTGACAGCTAACAGCCCTTATTCTACTCTTCAAAAGCAGTTAACAGAGACAGACAGACAGACTAAGATGTACAGAGAACAGAGTGAAAGTAAGAGTACAGAAGAAAGAAAAATCAACAGATAGAGAGACAGAGAAAGGAAGTGAAAGAAAGAGAGAGAAAGATCCAATTTTTTGTATTCATAAACATTCGAAACAAGGTTTTAGAAAGAGAAAACCTGACATTGCCTTTAAAAAATTGATGGATAAAGTGAATCATTGAATAATTTCCAAAGATTTGAAATTAACAAAAGTAAAAAGTAAGGAACTATTAAACAGTTGAATTTTCAACATTTTCTCGTGTGATTTTCTACTGATTTAAAGCCAATGCGGGAATTTAGAAAAGAGAACAAAGGAGGATGAACAGATTCAGAAGAAGCTGTAGAGGATGTGCAAAATAAAAATGACCTTAAATGAATATTCTAAAATGCTGACCTGATGATCTAATAGGTGCATTGCTCTTCAACGATGCTTCACCATCGTCATCGTCGTCGTCATCGTGGCTGTTGTCCATTGTGCCGTTCTTCATGCCATTCTCCACCTTGGCTTTAGCCTGAGCCTTCAGGGGTGACTTCTTGCCCCCATCCTCCTCCTCCGCCCCTTGGTGCGTCTGGTCGTAGTAGACGGCGCTGGCATCTTCCGACATGTACTCGAACATCTCCTCCTCCTTGGATGAAAAGGATATATTCATTCCCTGGGAGAGATGAGAAGAAGAGAGACACATTATTTAGAGAGGAGAATTAAGGTGATGTCAAAGTGACAAAAGATGGGAAATCTCTGACTGGGCGGCAGAGTGAAATTTTCATTTCATTCCAGTTTAAAATAATGAACAATAAAAAAAAAAATGAAATAATTGTTGAGTTAACGGTAAGTACAATAATATATCAACGTTTTAAAATGAATAGCAAACTACTATGTCATCAATAGAAAGGAGGAAAGAGAGAGAGAGGGAGGGAGAGAGAGAGAGAGAGAGTTAGAGAGAGAGAGAGAGGGAGAGAGTAGTGAAAAAGAGAGCCAAAGAGAGCAGAGAGAAAGAATAGATAGGAATGCATAGGAAATATGCCAATATCTAACTCTAAACACTTGCAGAAATTAAATTGGAACACTCATTGTTCGCAATAAAAAAAAATTCATATTGCATATAGACGCAATGTGGTATACTGTGGTAATCTGTGGTAATCTGTGGTAATCCCATGTGTACACACATTTTGTGAACACCACAGTGCAACCAGAATGAATGTGGTATACACTCAAGGTGTTTAATATGTGAAAACATGCAGTTCAGTATGTAATGAAACTACATGACTATTACACACAGTGACACCACACTGTGGACACCATGGGAATCACAATGTGTAATAACCACAGTGTTATGCAATGAATTTGGAACACAATCAGAGTATATATTGACTACCGGTATGTGAAAACACTGTGTTTGCTCTGTTTTCTATTTCAAGTTTCAACACTCTCTGGTATAACTGTGGCACTCAAAAAATTCACAGTGTACACACGATGAAAAAATGTTTACCATGTGAAAAAATGGATATAATAGCAATATCTCTGTTATGTGTTGTTGTTTCAGATTTAATGCACAGTCAATGATTCTTATGTACATACCATACGTAATAGCAAACAAATTTATTTCAATAAACACATAGAGACATGAAAAAGGGTACCTTTTTCAAATTCTAAAGCATTGAAAAGAGCTTAGGGAGAAGGAAACTATTATACTGCTTCACTGCCCAACTAAGAAGAGGGTAACTAAAGTAAATCACTGAATAAAACAGCAGAAAGCAAGGAATTTTGAAGCATACACAGCAAGTAATAAATAAGTATAAATCTGTTACAAAGGCTGTGCGCTCAGTTCACTTTTTTTATCAGTTCGGGTACGATTTCATTTCTAAAATTAGATCGGCCTGTAGGCCTATATTCATAAAATCATTAAAGTATAAAAGTGGATGGACTTTAAAATCTCTCTAAACAATTTAAACATAGCCTACTGATCATTATAGAGTGCCAACTATTCACTATTAGTAACGGCAAGAAAAGGTCGCTACACCCAATACATGTAATCAGCGGAAAACAGTCCTTATCAATAATCACTGTGTATAAATAATGAAATTGAATGAATGATCAGAAATTTGTCAAGCTATGAAATGATGAGAAATTGGTTCCATCATGATATTTCGACCTCCTTGGATAAGAAGTTTGGTAAAGTTAACCAGTTTTGTCAATTTTTAAACCTGTACTAAACAAAAAATATTTAAAAAATGTAATACCAGTCATTACGGCATACTTGAATGAATCTGACAAATATTGGAAGAACCAGAGCACCATTAACAAACTCTTGGTATGGTTTTAAGAGGACCTTGAACAGCTGTTCTACTGATATCAAGTTGTTCAAACTACTTTGGACTTCCAACATAGAAGATATTGCATGCACTGGATTCCAAAAGTCAAGAGCCGGATAAATATCTGAGTTTCTGAACAAAATTTGAAAAGACTTTATCATTTAGTAATTTTTTTCTTTTTCAGAATGCTGTAGAATTACTGCAGACTGTGTTCCAAGTCATCTAACTCAATGTATATATTTATGAAGTGACATGCTTTAAATATTTGTCGCATTTGATTATTCCACTTAACCAGGAAATGAGAGGATTAAATTGCTCCTTCGTGGTGACGCCCTTCAAGATATTACACATCTACATGTAGATGTACATGTATGTTCTTAAAGGTAAAGACCAGTATTGGAAACGCCCCAATTTCAAAAAATGAAATGGAAGCTCTCATTACCAATCATGTGAAAGAATATGTTTTGACTAATACATGATGATAAAAAATTTGCCGGGAAACCACCTACTAATTCATATATTTGGTAAATTTGTTTCTCTCATGGTCTGTGAGAGATATAGGGTAGTCCCATATACATCTTTCTGTGTATAGTGCTTGTAACTTTACGAAGAATGGGCCAAATTTCTTATCATTTTGATGATTCCAGAACCTTGCAGATCTATGCTAGATGCTAGATGATCAACCTTTTCTGATCGATTCCACAACGTTTCTTTCACAATGCAATCGCATGACCATAACTGGTCTTTAAGATGTAGCCTGGTATTTCACTTTAATACTCCTTTAATATCAAAACATAAATATATGTAGTCATACCCATCAAAACAAGACACTTATCTATTCAGTATTGGCTACACACTTTTCTCCTTGCTTTTGGATGACCTGCAGCATAATGGAAACTGTCGATTTTGAAGGAATTTGTTTTGATTTCCTAAAACAAAACTGATATTTTCTCAAGAGTGATATTTACATGGGGTCCACTTTTTTTTTGCAGCTCTTTTTTATGATTTTGAAGTCCTTTTTTTGAGCTTTTCAGAGCTACAATGTAAGTTCTCACTCCCTATCAAACAACAACATTAAGTGTACACCATACTATACCGCCCTATTTTCTCTATGACTGTCTGAGGTAGTTTGCTGATATATACTAACAGTGCTACATGTATTTACTTGTAAATATTAAATGCACTATCATTATTATCATCATCATTTCATAAGCTGTAAGTGCCATACACCCTATGAACACATATATATAAAGCTTTTACGACTGCTCAAACATTGTACATAGTACATGTGTGAATAATGCAACCAGCTGTGGTACAAAGCGTTGCAGCCTTCAGAAGACAAAACAATACTTTGGGTATTGATTAGACCTCAAGTAACTTCTATGGCTCAATATTGATTACCGTCTCAAAACATCTAGACTGCAGTCTTGGAGAATATAAGAGAGGACAATGACAACAAACAAGGTGTACACAGAGGAAGTTATCAAGAAAGGCTATATAGGAAAAGGTATAAAGAAGAAGAACAACAAAAGAAGGAGAAGTAAAGAAGAAGAGAAGAAGGAGGAGAAGAAGAAGAAGAAAGAGGAGAAGAAGAAGAAAAAGAAGAAGAAAAAGAAGAAGAAAAAGGAGATTAAGGAGAAGGAGAAGAAGAGAAGGAGAAGAAGAAGAAGAAGAAGAAGAGAAGGAGAAGAAGAAGAAGAGAAGAAGAAGAGAAGGAGAAGAAGAAGAAGAGAAGAAGAAGAAGAAGAAGAAGAAGAAGAAGAAGAAGAAGAAGAAGAGAAGAAGATGAACAAGAATAACAAGAACAAGAACTGGAACAAGAAGGAGAAGAAGGAGAAGAAGAAGAAGGAGAATAAGAAGGAGGAGGAGGAGTAGGCAATGAGAGAAGAAATATTTGTATACAATTATTTGTATAAATAGGAAATGATTGAAAGATTTAAACAAAACAAAAAAGGAAAGAGGCACATAAACACTAAAATATGTGCAGGCAGACAGAAAAAGCTGACAGGCTTATGAAAATGAAAATGAAATTGAGAGCAAATCTTCTATCTACAGTACAAGTACTAGACAGTAGAGTAGACTGCATATTACACAATACAGATATATGCATGCACAGAGAATATAAACATTGTCCAAGTGTGGGTGAAAAGATCAATGGTATTTCCTACTCCATCATCCAAATGCCAGTGTGTCAAACAAACGTCGATGACAAATTCCCAATTCAAGAACTATTTATTCAATAATTCATACTTCAAACAGCGTTCCAACGATGACCTTTGTGGCCATTCGCACCCATTTCCATATTAAGTTGCCCAATTAGCGCGACCAAGCCAGTTGAAGCCACATTTATGCCATACATTATTGTACATGTTGGAGCCATGTGGGACATGTTTCCTTGCCAATGCTGAGATAAATGCTCCCAGTTTCCCACACTCCACCATTTGGTAGACTACATGTACTTTCTTTTTACTGAGTAGAAAGCAAGCAAAATGAAACCCCAGTTTCATGTCCTACTCATCTCCATTTTTGAAAATCGCAACTTTACATTTTAAATATTTTTAACCAATTTATCTTTTTAATGTTTAAAATGAAATGAAACATTCATGTACATGTATCATACAGCAAGAGGGGTGAAAGATTTAAGAATAAAATAGGATAATTTTTTTTCTTATCCAGCACTAAGCGGCTCTAATGTTTTCATCTGATGTCATATCTAGAGTCATATTTTGGTTGAAGTACATATCAAAAACACCATTTCAAATATTCTGATTTAAAAATATATATATTGTACATGTACACTTAAAGATAAAGTTGAGTTCTTGTCATCCAATTGCTTTGTGAAAATAACAGAATTTGATCAGTAAAGGTTGATCATCTAGCATATAAGTATTGGTGTGTGTACTACTGCAATGTTCTGAGATCATCAAATTAATTTGGCCCAGTCTTGGTAAAGTTACAAGCATTGTACACAGAAATATGTATATGGGACTACACAAACCTGTCCCGATTTTTATGCTGTTACATGGCATGTTTAGAATATTAAGGCATTTGAAGAGCCATGCTTTTCAGGGAACATAAATTATCTGATGCTCTTCCAAACTTGCATAATAACAATGATAACGCTCAAAAATTATTTTTCACCTCTTCCCAGAACTCAATCTTCTCTTTAACTATTTATCCAACTACAATTGGCATGTCAAGACATACAAAATCTGAATATAGAGGCACATGTAACAATGTGCATCTCTCATGCTAAAAAATTCTAGAAAAGGGATTTCCCTAAATTATTTACAAATTGTGTCAAAAGAGAGTTGAACAATAAACAGGACAAAGATTAATTGGC